GTCTTTCTCTCTCTCTCTCTCTGCAGTCTCATATTCGCTTGACTTGGTAAACACAACGCAACAACATTATTTGGCAATGAATGGTGCCCAACCAAACCGCTTCTGTGCCTGAGTTAGTGTTAACATAAAAACCTGGTACACGCTGCTTAGGACACACATCCTTTGAAGAAGGATAAAAAATACACTTCCAGTCTCGAAGGCGGCCTATTTGCTTGGATATATCGGCCACTCGGATCGCGATTCACGATGTCAAACCTCGATTTCTTGGACAGCTTGTCAAAGCTAAACTTTATTGGTGTCGTGAGTCTGTTTGGTGGCGAGATCGCATTGTCTGCCTTGAGATATAGTGTGTTGATCCGAAGCACAGTCCAATCGCTCTACCTATCCATGGTCGTGTCCCCGGGCCTGCAAACCGTATCTCTCAAGATGTTCAGACGGATGGAAGACAGGGTCTCGAAGGCTATGAGTGGTGGCATAGAGGATGACAAAAGGGATATCATTGGACTCTCGGCGAGTGGCAAATACCAGTACACCGGATTGCATTCAGGAACTAAGATGGCCGTCGGAAGTATTCTGGGAGAGGCATTGGCCAAGGCATCGGTGGAATTCAAAGACGTTGAGTCTACAAGGCAAGGTCCACAGAGGCGGGGGCTGCAACTGAAGGTGATGAAACTTGGTAGACTATCGGAGGAGGTCAATAGAGGAATACGAATGGAAGCCGATGGAGGGTTAACAGGAATTAGAGCGGCGATCTTGTATATCATACCACTGATAACAGTTGCCGGGGTTGTCGTCGCCATACTGGATAAGGATTATGGCGCATGCACTCTCATTATCCTGAACGTAATCTGCAACATGGCTGTGACGTTCACGGTCCGCAGCTATGGGGTCTCATATCCGAGTGGGAACGCCTCCCCTGGGTCTCCCCCTGGTGATGCGCTTATACAGAACGCCGATGGTACGGAAATGTGTCTGATCCTCGCGGATGAGAATACGCTGCAATATCTGTTCCAGAAGCCACTGGTTGTCCCACCCGCCTCAGACGACAAGTTGTGGAATACTCTCCATTTGTTCGCCGCGTATTCGTCGTATCTTATGGTTATCGTCAACATCATAGTAATTCCCTTCTCTGACATCGTGGGACAGCTTACATTTGGCATCCTCATGTTCTTTGGCGTGGTACAAAATCTCACCCTATCCATCCTCGACGGGAACGAGCTGCTGTTGCGATCTATGAGACGGCTCTTTATCATCGAGCCTGCTGAGGGATATACTTTCCAGACAAGATCATCCGCGATCGCATACTGTATGCTACGATCCAAGTCCACCGACATTAGACAGTTGAAACATCTGTTACCCGACACTATGACATTCGGAGCTTGGGGCGATAAAGTGATCGAAAAGGTCAAGACCCTTCGCGACTCTAAAGAATCGGCCAACAACGGAATTATAGCGTCGTTGATGGAGAATCTCGAGCTAGATCTCAACGACGCGTTCACGGAAATAGAGAAAGAGAACTCTGGCCAACTTCCTGCTGTGTAGTGATTCTCTATCTACATATATATACATCTTTATATCTATCTTTATACATCTATCTACGTCTGTCTACAAACTTTTACAAACTACTAAAAAATAATGTTTTTGAGGCTCGAAAATTTAAGAGGTATAAAAATGGCCCATCTACAAGGAATTGGGCCAAGTCATCTAGCCCTTGGCGATAGCCAAGGGCAAAGGTTATCCATGACGGCAGCCAAGGGCTGGTGCCAAAAGATGTCACCGGGGTGGAGCTCCGGGAAGGGGTCGCCTGCACCCCAGAAAATCTACCAAAAGAATAATGTTTTTGATGGCTCAACTACAAGGAGGAAGTGGCTCAACTAGAACGAGGACGATGAGGCTTACACAGAAGGATGAGGGTTGCGTTCAACGGCACCCAAAGAGCTTTGGCAGGCGTCATGCACGTCTCGGGAGCTGTGTGAGGGAATGACTAGAGCTGATAGTTGGTAGGCTATGCTCTGAAATTTACATAAGCTATTTGATCATGCAGCTTTCCCGTCACTCTAATAAATCGATATGATATGCAGCTGCTGTAATATGCACCACACGTAAACAAGTACTTTCTATGCTTTCCCAAGCATTACGTGTGTCCTTTCGACTTATTCCACATACACCGAGGATTGTTTGATTGCTGACAGATTACCATTACTCATCTCTCATCTAGCGATGTGTCTTTATTTTTTTAAAAAAA